AGTTTTCCTCATTAATCACAAATATTAGAGTCTTGGGGGGAAATGACATGGAATTTTGATAGTTTGATAATCTTTGCAAAAGATAATCCATCTTCCCTAATAAAATAAAAGCATTTGAGTGTTTTTATAATGTTTTGCATAAAGATAAAAATAGAAGAGGAATGAGAAAGAGCTGTGTAAACTGCAAAATCAGTGCACACTTATTTTATTAGTTACACTATGTAAGTTGAATATTTTATTCACTTGCTATCTAGGATCTCAGATAGCTAATAACTCTCAAATAATAAAACAATGTCCTAAATACTCTAGACATACTACATACTTTCTGGTTGGAAGTACTTTCTTGAAAAAAAGTTACTCTCTTTTAAAAATAAACTGTCAACTTTTAAATTTAAAAGGAATGTACGTTTTACCCTTTAAAAATTGCTATACTTGGCACTCTTGATAGGTTAGATTAGATACATGGTGAAAGATAGATAGATATGTGACATGAATTCATATTGGTGTATACATGCATGTTCACATTCTCTGCCAAAATAAATAATTTCAAAAATGTGAAAAATAAACTGAAGACAATTGAAAAGAGAATTCTTCTTTCCTTACCAAAAATACCGCGGATCTAGCATCAAAAGAGATATTTGTTTGCTTGAATCTCTAAAAGTTAGATAATATCAGAGCTTTGTTTTTCCAGAAATCTTACTTCCTCCTGATATTCCAGTAACTTGGTCATTTCCTATACTTCTAGAGAATCTATGCTTTTCACAAGCCTTGTTGAAACTGTTCTGGTGGTATAAGCAAAGTGACTGACATAACTTGAGAAATAATGCACAAAAATTACTAGTGTGAGATCAGCCATGCCCTCCTACAAAAGCAAGCAGTACACGAAAGTTAAAATGTTAGTTGCTTAGTTGTATCTGACTCTTTGCTGCCCCATGAACTCTAGCCCACCAGGCTCCTCTGTCCTTGAATTCTCCAGGCAAGAATACTGGAGTGGGTAGTTATTCCTGTCTCCATGAGATCTCCCAGACCCAAGGATCAAACCTGGGTCTCCTGCACAGCAGGCAGATTCTTTAATGACTGAACCACCAGGGAAGCCTTAATCAGAACATGGCTGGCTCTAATAGCAAAGAGGGAAATAGAGAATATACATTTGAGCATAAAGCAAATGATGGTAGCAATCACTCTCTCAGAGATGAAAGGGATTTTAAAAAGCAGTGCCATTTCTCAAAAATACCCATCAAAATCATGAATACCAAGAAATCCCAAAGAAATTAAGAAACTCCAAATGTCTCCCAAAGAGGCACATCATTTTAGTGATAGGAAAACATTTATACTTCATTACTCTTTTAAAGAATCCTGCTAGCAAAAGACATCAATATTTGTTTGAAAATAGGATGAAAGCCATATTTGGCAGGAGTACATTTGAAATGTTTCCAAAATGTATTTTTATTCTCAATGGAACAACAAAACTAGGTTTTTCTCCAGTTTTGGAAAGGCATACACATATTCATATACATACATGTTTGTGTCAAAGCAAATGAAAGGTGTGACTTTAACAAATACACCTCCCTCCTCTCTCACTTAAGTCACTCTTTTCCCTGACCAACATGTGTAAACAGTCAGTAAACTTACACAGTTATGATAGCTGTATTGATGCTTTGAAAGACTATTTGTGTGTGTGTGTGTGTGTGAGAGAGAGAGAGAGAGAGAGAGAGAGAGAGAGAAACTTTGTCAGGTGTCTTTTGAAAATGTGATTACATGCATTATATGAATCTATAAAAATATATAGTTTATAAATATTATCATGTTATATCAATTGTCTACAACTTGCTTGCTTATGCTCAGTAATGTGTCTTTGGGAACTTTCCATTTTGGGTACACATAACCATTCCTTTTTACTATGCAGAAAGTCCATTACATAACACTAGCTGATATTTACTGAACACTTAGTAAATGCAAGACACTTGATGGTTTACTTGCATTGTTTCCTTTCATTTTCACAAATGAGTAGATTCTCTTAACGTCTCCATTTTACAGATGAGAAAATAAAGTCACAGAAAAGTTTAGCTAGTTTTCCAAGTTCACACTGCAGGGAAACAGCAGAGCTGGGTTTTTAGTCCAAAGGGGCTGATTCTTCTCTCAGTATTTCACAACATTCTTTATAAATGCCTAAGAATTTTTTAAAATATACCATCATTAGAGGACAATCAGCTAATTACAAGACTTTAAGAAAAACAAACCTCACTGCTACAGTAAACTTCGTTGTCTTAACTCCTTTATATATGTAAATAAGCAACCCCTAATGTATACACTTACAACTGCATTTCCTAGTAGAAGGTTAATTGTATAAGTCATCTTTCAGTCGGAGAAGGCAATGGCACCCCACTCCAGTGTTCTTGCCTGGAAAATCCCATGGACAGAGGAGCCTGGTAGGCTGCAGTCCATGGGGTCGCNCAATGTCATCCTCCACCACCCCTTCTCCTTTTGCCTTCAGTCTTTCCCAACAGTAGGGTCTTTTCCAGTGAGTCAGTTCTTCACATCAGGTGACCAAAGTATTGGAGCTTCAGCTTCAGCATCAGTCCTTCCAGTGAATATTCAGGCTTGTTTTCCCTTAGGATTGATTGGTTTGAACTCCTTGCTGGCCAAGGGACTCTTAAGACTCTTTTTCAGCAGAACTATTCGAAAGCATAAATTCTTCAGGACTCAGCCCTCTTTATGGTCCAACTTTCACATCTATACATGATTACTGGGGTCTTTGTTGGCAAAGTGATGTCTCTGCTTTCTGTATCAGAAGTATCTTGCAGGTACCTAGCATCATCCATGTTTTCTGAATGAATGATAAACGGACATGCAGAAAATAGATTCCTAAATTCTTTCTAATTCTTCCCCATCTTTTTGGCTGTCAACCTAAAATTTCTTAATATTACTGAGTTCTCTACATTTCTTCCATCAAACATACCTAATTTTCCTTTATTGTATTAGTTTATGGGGCAATGTAATTTGATAAAAAGCTGAAGAAAATGTATTTAACAGGCTGAGGTCTCTCTGAAATATATAATTGGGCCAAAACCAAAAGAAACAGCAAAACTGATGTGGTCTTCTGATCTGACCAAGATGACAACCATTCAGGTTCCTGCAGGCCACAGAGTAAAAATGTGGCTCCAGCTCTCATAGTTTTGCACATTGACCGAAGTAAGCGGAGAGTGAGCAACTTCCATTTCATTCTGTGTTGTACAGACAAAGCATGAAGTTGTTACATTTTGTTTTATTGTTTGCCTAGAGAATTCGTTTTTCTGTTTTAATAATGCATTGGGACAGTTTGATGATGGATGGGGTTTCAGAACTCTTAATCAGCTTGCCATGATAACGAGGGTAAACTGAGCATGTGCAGACATAACAAAAATGAGGAGAAATGTCACTTAACAGTGAACCTGCTAACAGCACTTATCATATGCTTTCAAATTCTGTTTCATTAACTCTGTAACTTTTTCCATCCTCTTTTCCTGTTCTCTACTTTTTTATTTGTCCTTCGTTCATTTGATTCTACTTTTATGTGTTCATAACTGACTCCAATGCCTGTATTTAGAAATTCTGCTTTCATTTGAATAGGAATTTGGTATTCATTCTTAGTAAGGTCAAAGGAGGGAATATCTACAGCTGAATTTATGTGCTTGCCAAAGTAAAAAAGTGAAATTAAATGTAGGGAAAGTATCCAAAATGAGAATGAAAAGAAATACACCAGTGCAGGGAATTGGAAGTGGCCTGGGTTTTATCTGTCTGATTTGTGTAATTTCTCCCTATTACCACTGTTTTCATCAGCCTGTGTATAATACATATATACGTTGCATAATTTGTTATTAGAAAACTGTGAGAGAATTTAAAGTATGCAGTAGAGAGTTAGGGGCTCAGTTCAGTTCTGACATTCATTTTCTGTCCTGGGCAGTCAAGGATTCAGATCACAGAACCTGGAGAGACCATTTATCCAGAGTGTGATCATGGGGCATGGAGAGACAAAGCATAAAAGATAAAGAAGCAGAGTTCTGTCCCTGACCAGATGCAGACTTGGAAAGAAGCTCTGACAGTTTCTGCCAAAAGAGCAATACTGTAAGGAACAGGCATATTTCCAAATGGCCGAGCAGCCAGCCCTAATCCGACTGCCATGTACCCACAACGCCCGTCAGAGCATGGTGCCTAGCAGTGTTGATCCTGCGCCCACTGCGATGCGCTGCATCTCTGCTTCCAAGAGCAGCATGATTATTTCGGACTCCTCTCCTACTAACCACTACTCTAATGAATTGTTCCTTTAACTGCCATGTAAGATTGTGAAAGAAATAACCGGCTTACTAAAGAAAAGAGAAATATTAAAATTCCATCTTCAGGGTCATGAAAAAACCTCCCATGTCATAATCAAAGTTCCAAAACAAAAGTATAATTAGTTGAAGTGTTAGTGGAGAACACGTGTGTGTATAATAAAGTTCATACATTAAGTCTAGTGTCTTAGTACTGCACAACTGATAAAACTCTCAGCTGTAGAAAACGACTCTATCTTGGTTGAATCAAGATGCTCTTCTCACAAAAGCTTCCTGGACTTTGTGCATCACTGCATAGTCACTACCTATGACCAACACCAATCCATAACACACTTGACATTTCTTATATTTGTGCTGATAAATATTTTCATAAATGTCTTAGTATATCATATAGCCACTGTTCACTTTTGCAAACCTCAGGCAGAATCTCCATTTATTAAACCTCTGTGGTTCTAAGCACAGTTACTCCCAATTTGACACACTCACAGCCAAAATGTATTGTGGTTCATTAATTTGCAATTGGTGTTGGGTAAATGCTCTCAGTAACTTATTATCTGGACAGCATTGCTTTCTGAGTTGCATTCCAACGACCCCAAAGTATTTGATTATACTTAGTTCTTGGATAGTCCTCTAAAATAGCTTCCCAAATTAGCACTAAGTTGTTATGTACACATCTCTGGGTCAATGAGGTATGGTTTGCTAAAGCATTTATTTAGTCACGTAATCATTTAAAAATCAGTTACTGAACACACGCTTGTGATGAGGCACTGGAAAAGACCTGGGGCTATGAAGATATAGCTTATTCACATTTCAATCTGATAAAGAGCAAGATAAATATGTAAATTAATGTGCATAACATATGATAGATAACTATAAAAAGGGATATAGCAGGAGAAAAGGGAAGTGGTCAGGTCTACTTGGGAATAGGGAATGGTCATTCTACAACTCAAGAATTCCTGGTGCACCACTATAAGAATATCAGATGTAGCTAAAATGCGTGCCATTAAACTAAAACTCTGAATATATTGAATAATGGTCAAAAAGGGATATTCATTGAGCTCTCCAGAACTTTACCCTTCTTTCTGTCCAGAAATAAAAAGTGAATTCATAGCTTGCAAAATGTATCAATCAAGAAAATAAGGAAAAATATTTGTTTCCTAGTGTCTCTTCTAGAAATTTGCAGTCTTCTCACATTGGGTTGTATTTTAACTCCTGTTAGACTATAGTAAAATCAATATATTCAGTGAATAGTAAATGGCTATACTCACTTCATAAGAAAGTCAATCAAATGTATACATTTCATACATTTTACCCATGGAATTATATTTAGGGGATTAATTTTTGTGTATGCTGTTCTCCTTTGAAGTTATTCTTTTAAAAGGCATATTTTCAAATTGGGTAATCAATATAAAATTTTAAAAATATACATTAAATATTCTTTGTGAAAAGCATCTTGGTACTACAGTCCCTCATCTTTAATCCTTCAAACAAGTTCAAAATAAAATTGTAGCACTATAGCATTAATTGCAAATATTTTCTATAAAAGAGTTTTTGATGATTTTCATGGTTTCAGATATGTAAATTCCATTTGTGGTATCTTTTTTTGCTTTCAAAGTAGTCATCAATAGAAGTAACTCATTCTTAGTTTGTCAAACTCGCAAAGACTAGTAACAGAACATTTGTTAACTGATTCATAGGATTCTCCAGGTAAGACTGATGTGATTACTTGTATAAAATTTCTTTAAAAAGCATGACATTCTCTTTCATATGCTCATCTTCCTGAAGTCTATGGCAATTGATCAGTTGGAATAGTTCATATTCTCCTTCCTATAAAAAATAAAATCAATAAATAAATATTAGGTAGAATTTAAGATAGAACTTGTCTTTATTATAGACATTTTATAATCCAGTCTTAAGAATAAGGGTTTTGATCTATAGATGAGAATACCTAATGCACGGTCACTTGTTTAATAAGAGAAGGAACACAAGAATTATTTGACCTATATTGTCAAATGAAGTTTCTGAAACCATTAAATAATGCCTGAATTTTCATAGAAAAAAAAGAAAGGCATTTGAAAGAATATATAATCCCTCCTCATGCTTTCCATAGGACAACTACTATTCTTTTATCCACCAGAAAAAAAGCATGAACAAAAAGCACCAATGAAGTTTGGTGCTTTCTTTCAAAGAAAGAAAATTTATATTACTATTACTTTCATAGCAGTGAAAACTATGATGATGTAACAGTAAAAGGTAGTTAGCAAATCACAACACATAAATACTCAAATTTTTGCAGATCTCTTTTATCCAGGAAATAAATTAAAAACTAAATTATTCTCATAGAAATAATAGCTGCAGATACTGTATAAAGTTACAACACCCATCAAAAAGCAATGTTACTACTAACAACATACATGTTGCCATGTTTTGTGTTGTGTATGTTGCATATGTTTTGTATACTTCTCAAGCTTAGAAAATGGTACCAAGACTGTGGGGAGAACAGGGTTGACACTGGGAGTGATCAAATTAAACAAAGCAAAACAAATAAGTAAACCTTGTTATTCACAAAGGCAGTGGGAGCAACAGGGATTGGACTAGAGGGAGCAAAAATATGCTTTTTAAGCTCACTTCCTACTTCCCCACAGGAAGTATGCTGATTCTTGGTTCAATTGCTTCCCAAAAGAAACTGAAGAAGCCCTGATGACTTCTTTACTTTCCAGGAACTATTATAATAATATTTTTTAATCATTACAAAGCTTCCACCAAGATGCTCAGGGTACTATATTAACAATTAAAACATCATCATTGTAAACAATAATAATTAAAAACACATAAGGAGCACAGCACAGAACAGCCACAGAACACTCAGCACAATTCTTGCTGAAGAGAGAAGGGTCTTTTTGCAATGCTCCTTGTAATGCAATATTGCATGGCCATTTTCTGAAGTTCAAAACCAGAAGCAGTTCTAAAAGGATCACCAGTTTACTAACTACAAAATGCCTACAGATTGATGTATGGAACATTGCTCTCAAACACGGGAGAGTCATCTAGCATCCATTGTCTCCTTTAAAATCAGAACTTTCAAAAAAATAATGTAATGCCAATTAAAATAATGAAAGAACCTGCCGACAGTTTCTGACTGAATAGACAATGTTGTCGGGATTTTAATAATTCTGTCTCCTATTTTATGTTCCTCTGATTGTGATGATTAGTAAGCTGCTTAACCCATTTGTGGTTTTATTTCAGCATCTGGGAACAAGGAGTAGAATTGTGTCTGGCATTAGAGAAATTGCTTTAAGTTGTAGAAACTAAAAATTATATTTATCCACCAAGTAATTCACATATCCCTCTCCACAAATCTGATGTTTAACCAGGGAATGCCAACTCTCTGATTTGAAATATATATATATATATGCATTTTTAATGTATTTTAAAGAAATAATATTAGTGACATTTTCTTTAAGGAAATGCCAAATATATATAAATTTTAATAAAATAAAATTTCTATTGAAGTCTTTTGCTCACATTATAAAGTGAGCAAAATACATGTTTAGCTTGATAAAGGGTTATAAAGTGAGCATACCCATGTAACCCAGCACACAGGAATAAATGAAACAATTCCAGCATCACAGAAATCTCCTTTCTGTCTGCTCAAGCTACTAACACTACTTCTGAAAAGTAATTAGGAGGCTACCTTCTACAGACATCTCTCTGCACTACCTGCTTTTGATCTGTTTGGAAACAGACCTCTACTGTGCCTAGTCTTTTATGACTCTTCTTTGGCTCCATTATTTTTGTGAAATTCATCCATGATGCTGTGCACAGCTCATTGCCTCCACTGGCATTACTGTTTGCCATCACTTTGTGTGAATATGCCACAACTGATTTGGTCACACCAGAATTTGGGCTGCTCTTGAAAACATTCTTGTATATATCATCAAGTGCATGCAGGTTTTCATTTCTGCTACGTATACACCTAAGGTAGAATTGCTGGGTCACAGAATTTGTGCACCCAAATATTCTGCTTTAGTAGACATTTCTATTCAGTTTTCCCAAGTGCCTGGCTTGTTTTAGATAACCACCACCTGAATGGAAGAGTTCTAGTTGCTCAATATCTTCATCAACAATCTTCATTTTCAGCTTCTAAAATTTTTAGCTTCATTTTAAGTTAATTCATTCAGTTTCACTTCTCATATCACCTCACTAGAGTTTTAATTTGAATTTCTGATGATAACTGATATTGAGCAATTTAGTATAACATATTGGACATCTGAATCTCTTCTTTTGCAAAATACCTTGTCAATAATTTTCCCATTACTTCTAAACTGACTTATCTGCATTTTCCTTAATGATTTTAAGAAACTCTTTGCATATTCCTGATATGAGTCCTTTTTTAGTATTATCAACATATTACTCCACTCTGGTTTGTCTTTTCTCTTTCTTACCAGTAACTTTTAATGAACACAAGCAATCAATTTTAATAATGTCCACTCTCTAGAAGTCTTACTTATATAGCAAAGGGTTTTGGTAGTCAACTCAAAAAGTATTTACCAACTCCCAAATTATAGATATTCTCCTTTGTTAACTTTCAGAAGACATATGGTTTTACCTTTCCATTTATATGTATAGTTGATAGAGACATGATTTCTTTTTTAATCATTTGAAGCCTCAGTATAAATTTTTATTTCCCATATGATGCCCAGTTGACCAAGAACCATTTACTAGAAAGAACACCTTTTTCCTACTGCACCAAGGGGGAATTTTATTTTAATTCAAGTAACTGCAATGAGGCCCTTTCCCTTGCTTTATTTATCTATTCTTACTTCATTAAATTCTGAATAAATTAGTGGAGTTTTATAAGTCTAGATATTTAGCAATGTCAGATTGCCTACTTTATTATTTTTCACAACTGTCATTTATGTGCTTAGTCTTTTGGTTTTCCATGTATAATTTAGATTCAGCTTGTCAGTTTCCACCAAAAATTGAGATTTTGATTGGAATTCCATTAAATGTATAGATCAATTAGAGTATACTTGACATTATTACAGTATTGAATCTTGCAAACCATGGATATAGTACCTCTCTCAATTTATTAAGTCTTCTCTAATTTCTCTCATATCTAGTAGTTTTATTGTAGAGGGTTTGCATGTGTGCTAAATTGCTTCAGTTGTATCAGACTCTGTTCAACCCTTGGACTGTGGCTTAACAGGTTCCTCTGTCCATGGGATTCTCCAGGCAGGAATACTGGAATGAGTTGCCATGCCCTCCCATGGAGGATCTTCCTGACCCATGGATCAAACCTCATTCCCCCATGTCTCCTGCATTGGAGGTGGGTTCTTTACCACTAGTACTACCTGGGTCTTATGTCAAATTTATTCCTGGGTATTTGATGTATTTTAAAGGTATTTTATTTATTTACCTTATATGCAGAGTACATCATGTGAAATGCTGGGCTGGATGAAGCACAAGCTGGAATCAAGATTGCCAGAAGAAATATCGATAACCTCAGATATGCAGGTGACACCAAGCTTAAGGCAGAAAGCAAAGAAGAACTAAAGAACCTCTTGATGAAAGTGAAAGAGGAGAGCGAAAAAGTTGGCTTAAAACTCAACATTCAGAAAACTAAGATCATGGCATCTGGTCCCATCACTTCATGGCAAATACATGGGGAAACGAAGGAAACAGTGACAGACTTTAGTATCTTGGGCTCCAAAATCACAGCAGATGGTGATCACAGCCCTGAAATTAAAAGAAGCTTTCTCCTTAGAAGAAAAACTATGACCAACCTAGACAGCATATTAAAAAACAGAGACATTACTTTGCCAACAAAGGTCCATCTAGTCAAAGCTATGGTTTTTCCAGTAGTCATGTATGAATGTGAGAGTTGGACTATAAAGAAATCTGAGTCCTGAAGAATTAATTCTTTTGAACTGTGGTGTTGAAGAAGACTCTTGAGAATCCCTTGGACTACAAGGAGATCCAACCAGTCCATTCTGAAGGAAATCAGTCCTGAATATTCATTGGAAGGACTGATTTTGAAGCTTAAACTTCAGTACTTGGGCCACCTGATGCAAAGAACTGACTCACTAGAAAAAAAACCTGATGCTGGGAAAGAGTGAAGGTAGGAGAAGGGGATGACAGAGGATGAGATGGTTGGATGGCATCACCGACTCAATGGACATGAGTTTGAGTAAGCTCTGGGAGTTGGTGATGGACAGGGAAGCCTGGTGTGCTGCAGTCCATGGGGTCACAAAGAGTCAGACACGACTGAGTGACTGAACTGAACTGAAAGGTGTTTTAAAAGTTACAAGTATACAAGTAAAATTTTCCAATTTTTCTTATCTTTAGAAATAAATTTAATGTTTATGTTAATACTGTATACAGAAACATTGCTGAATTTACCAATTATTTTTACTCATTTTTCTAAATTATTTCATATGCAAACAATGACAATTCTTTTCTTCTCTTCCAACTTTTTTGCCATTTATTTATTAACCCCTTTGCACTGGCAAAGATCTCCAGAAAAAATGATGATTGGGGGGTGATAGAGACATTCTTATATCGTTTGTCTCAAAGGGCAGCATTTGATACTTAAATCATTAAACAGAAAGTTTCCTAGAAGTTTTGTTGATAAATTTTATCAAGTTGAGGAAGTTCCCTTCAATTTCCAGGTGCTAAGAGTTGTTATTGTGAAAAGTTGTTGTACTTTATCAAATACCTTTTCTGCATCTATTTTAATGACCATATATTTTTCTCCTTAATGCTGGTAATATGGGTAATTAATCGACTTTTGATTGTTAATCTCATGTTGAATTCCCAGAATGAATATGCCAAATAATTTTCTATGAGATTTTCAAACAAGAGAAAAAATGTCTCATTACAAAATTAATTTGGCCTTTAAAAATCTATCTTTTCAACAATTTCTGACACCTTTTTATAAGGCATTCAAAGTTACCTGCTGGAGTTAACTTCACTGGCTTTCATTTATACTCAAGTATGCCTTTGTTGGCAACCCACTTCAGTATTTTTGCCTGGAGAATCCCATGGAGAGAGGAGCCTAGAGGATTACAGTCCATAGGGTTGCAAAGAGTCAGACACAACTGAAGTGACTTAGCACACACATGCTTTTGTAGGGCTTCCCAGGTAGTGCTAGTGATAAAGAACCCTCCTTTCAAAGTAGGAGACTTAAAAGATGCAGATTCAATTCCTAAAGATCCCCTGAAGGAGGGCATGGCAACCCACTCCAGTACTCTTGCCTGGAGAATCCCATGGGCAGAGGAGCCTGGTGGGCTACAGGCCATAGGGTCCCAAAGAGTTGGACATGACGGAAGTGACTGAGCAGAGCATGCATGCATACTTTTGTAATGATCTGAATAATCCACATTGTTTGTCCATTTCAGCTTCTATAACCTAGAAACCAGTTTATAAATATCTTAATATTGGAATAAATATTAGCTATTGTATATTTACTTTATCATAGGAAAATGGGTTACTCTTAAAACCAATGAGTTTAAAAAAACACATTGCTCTAATAACTGGCTTTAAATTATACACATGGCTTTTGTAATAATCAATTCTGATGTCCATTTTAAAACACTGATGAAGGCCTTTAGAAAACAAGTCAAATTCGTTTGAGCTTTCTCAGATTTCAGACTAGCAACTACAATTCAGCAGCTTCTTTCAACCTGTCTTACACTTCTAGATGGCAAGTTTCATGCAAACAAGAAGACATGATCTATGAAAAGTCCATATAAAATTTTAAAACTTACACAAATGTGTATCAGTTTAATTCTTTAAAAACATGTATTTCCTTCTATTTACCTTCAACACTTGGAAATGAAAATGCTAGGTACTAAGTGTCATAATACGGAAGTATTTAAGAAAAAAAATGGTTAAATTATATAAAAGGAGCAATAACTAATTAAATGAAGTTACTGAAAGAATATAAAAGCAAGCCATTCAGAGTTTAGAATTACCCCACACTTTAGGGGAGGCAATTAATAGCCAGTATTTGGGACTCCCAATAATGTTTCACGTGCAAGTAGAAAAATGTGGGAACTAAGCCAAAATGTAACTCTGAGAAGCAGCTGCAGCCCATTTTAGAAGTACACACAGGTAGGAATTCCATCAATGTGGCCAAATTTATGTGGCATAAAACAATAACACTTGGAAAAAATCTAACAGTAGGGTTTGGAATCTCATCTTCACTAAGAAGATAGGTTTGCTGTAATAAGTTCATATAATTAGCTCAGCTAAAACTCTTTTTTATCTCTCTGTAGTAAAATATGTATTTTGCTCTGTTTTCAGTCATGGAAGTCTACTAGCATAAACCATTTTATCTAATTTATGAGAATGTTTAATCCAATAGAGTTTTAAATTATTATTGTGCCATTCATACAATGTCTGAGGATCATCTAAAATTTTGAATTCCTACCAAGTATCACTGTGACTGACATTTCCTATACAGGCAATGACCAACCCTTGACAAACCTAGACAGTAAAAAGCAGAGACAGCACTTTGCTGACAAAGGTCCGTATAGTCAAAGCTAGGCTTTTACCAGTCATCATGTACAGATGTGAGGGTTGGACCATAAAGAAGGCTGAACCTGAAAGAATTGATGATTTTGAATTGTGGAAGACTCTTGAGAGTCCCTTGGACATCAAAGAGATCAAACCAGTCAATCCTAAAGGAAATCAACCCTGAATACTCATTGGAAGGACTTATGTTGAAGCCGAAGCTCCAATACTTTGGCCACCTGATGCAAAGCACTGACTCATTGGAGAAAACCCTGATACCTGGGAAGATTGAGGGCAAGAAGAGAAGGGAGAGACAGAGTGTGAGATGGGTGGATGGCATTATCATCTCAACGGACATGAGTTTGAGCAAACTCTGAGAGACAGCCAAGTGTCGACAGCCTGGTGTGCTGCAGTCCATGGGGTCGCGGAGTCGGACGCAACTGAGAAACCGAACAACATCGTGATAAATGTTTGATTAAAGAAGGAAACAATTCAGTTTTCAAATTTTATCTTTCAAAAGTCTTATTGTGAAAATTCCATGGATCAAATTCATTAGTTTATATGAGGGGGAAAAAATCTCATGTCTTTACTAGTACCTCTCACAGTTTACTATTAACTTTCAGTCAATCTTCCAGGTTGGTTTCCATGTTTGAAACTATGTTACTTTAAGAATGAAAGTAAAGCTTTCCACATACTCTGAAGATAAAACATTACTAAGATACAAAAATTAGAATCTTTTCCAGAATAAGAAATCACATATTTGGGAGGATATTACTTTACTCCTCTTGGCCTTACTAATTTTCCATTCAAATTTGATTTTTTTGTGGTACTTCTTATTCTACCCATGCAATTTCTAGTGGGACATTTTAAGAAAAGGGTTTTTTCCAAAAGTTGAAGAGGCTTACTTTTTATAAATACACTTCCTGTAATAGCTTGATATTGTACTTTCAGAAATATCTTGATAAATAAAAATGATTAATTTCATGGTTTTATTTAATGATTAATCATGGGCATCGTTTAACTGTATTCATGTTATATTCATTGATATCAAATTGCTTTCCTCAGACTGTATAAAGCAAAAATGGCCAGAGTTCAAGCACTTTATATAAAATTTAAAGGAATATGACATCACCTCAAAAGAGCAAAAATGGTTCGCATCCAACAGCGCAGGATTGCCACTGCCATCTTCACACTTCTGTTTGACTCCCCTGTCAACCCTTCAGACATTTCAGCACTTTTGGTTTATTTAATTATTAATTTAAACAATGAAAGGGGGAGGAAACTTTAGCCACTTCTACAAGAAAAGCATAAAAGTCTTCTAGGACAGATTTTATTGTTCTTCACATAATTCTATTGACTTGGTTAACAGCCTTGGACTATGGAGTGAGAATGCAGAATCTTGCTGGGAATTCTAAATTCTCTCAACAGCAAAGGGAAAAGTTTATATGTAAAATTATTTATTAACTGCATGGAATCATCTAAAAATCACCATGTCACATTCATAAGTCAGTTCAGAAATTTACAGTTAGAGATAGGGAGCACTAACATTGGAGAATCACACAAAGCACTTCATTGGGTGTTCACTGTTTGTACACAAAAATGCCAGGGCACTTCTAGAAGAGAAAAAATTTTGCTACTTCCCACCCTGAAAGGATAAATATTCTTAATCCTATCTAGCACTACATTTGAATGAAATGCATCATGTTATTACATTTGAAACTTTTTTTTACAGTGTTATCTTGATGACATTTTCAGTCTCACTATTTTTCTAAAAAGTTAGCAATCTAGAAACAAATATGAAGAATCATGAACTTAAATATTAATATCTATATGTTTAATCCTATTATGATAAATACTAATATATGAAAATATATTCCAAAATAAATTGGTATTTTTTAATGAAACAAATTATCCCCCCAAAATTTAGAAGTGGTTAATGAACCTCATTTCACAGTATCCAGAAATAATCACACTCATATATATGCCTAAATATATAATGACATTGTGTTATCATTATATATATATTTAGGCTTCCCTCGTAGCTCAGTCAGTAAAGAATCTGCCTGCAATGCCGGAGGCCCGGGTTCAAACCCTGGGTCGGGAAGATCCCCTGGAGAAGGAAATGGCAAACCATTCCAGTATTCTTGCCTGAAGAATCTCATGGGCAGAGAAGCCTGGCAGGCTAGAGTCCATGGGGTCACAAGAGTCAGACGCGACATAATGACTAAACCATTATCATTGTATTATCAGTATTTTCACCTTAATGCAATGATTTTCTTACTAGAAAACTTTATATTTTCTAAAAAGAAAATGTTTCCTGCTTTGCAATATACATCCTTTGAACAAGTTCAATATTCATTCAAGGTGAATCTACTGAATACATACATGTCCCTTTGATTTATTTATTACTCTTAATTTCAGTTAAACACTCTCTTTCTTATGCTCCTGTATCCTTTTAACATAGTTCACATAGTTTCACATAATTACAGGTTGTTACAGGCTGTAACTCTTCCCTTTTATTTACCTGGCACCTAGTAGGTGTTCAATACATTTTATATATATAATATAATAATATGTCTAAATGCATTATTTATCCATCCATTCTTTTAAATTCATCTGTCATTATCCCATACTTAGAAATCCCTCAACTTACAGTTTTGCCCATGTTTGAATAATGTCATCAGAATAATGATTATGAATCAATTCTGTCATCAAACCATGGTTCTTCACTAAAAACCATTAAACAACCTATTGACTACAGAATAAATTAATTAATTCGGTCAAAAAGAATATTTATTATTTTTTATGTGCCAAATACTATTCAAACCTCATGAACTGAAATTCAAGTCCCTCCAAATTTGGCTGTAATCCGTGTTCAACAATGTCTTCAAACACTGATCCTCTGGGATCTTACACTCTAGCTAAATTTTTCTGCTCTTCTTGTCTCTCTGACATGTATCTTGTGCCTTCTCACTTTGCAAATTTGCATGTTAAGACTACTCTTTTTTTCATGGTCTAATCAATTTTTTTAGACATGATCAATTTTTTACTATTTTATGAAAATTTTGCAAACCATTCCTGATATGAATAATTTATTCACTATTACATAATTTTAATTGTCCTTTAAATACAGGCTTTCTTCCAAAATATTTAATTTTTTACTATGAAGTTCAATATTATATAATGAAAAAGGTCTCCGCCTATATTTAAGTTCAAATATCCAATAAGCTACATACTAGCCAGGTGATCTTGGTTAAATTAATTTCTGATGGCTTTCCTATCTCCAAAGCAAAATTAGGAATAATTTGGAGAAGGAAATGGCACCCCACTCCAGTACTCTTGCCTGGGAAATCCCATGGACAGAGGGGCCTGGTGGGCTGCAGTCCATGGGGTCACGAGGAGTTGGACACGATTGAGCGACTTCACTTTCATGCCCTGGAGAAGGAAATGGCGACCCACCCCAGTGTTCCTGCCTGGAGAATCCCAGGGACGGGGGAGCCTGGTGGGCTGCCGCCTGTGGGGTCGCACAGAGTCGGACACGACTGAAGCAACGTAGCGGCAGCAGCAGCAGCAGTAATAACTGCTTTCCTGAGTGATGCTAAGAATTCAGTGAAATAACACTGATACTTATTGACTGTGATTTTCCTACAGTCTTGCATTTTTTAAATATACTTATGTTTATGAATTAATTTGCAAGCCCTTAAAAAGTTTTTATCATATTTTACTATGTATATCATTATAAAGAATAGAATCATAAAACACATTTTTATAATAATGGGTTGTTTATGTCATTTTCCTATTAATACACTTACTGGCCAAAAAAAACTATGGATATAAATATATGAGAAAAAGATGATAACCTGTTATTGAATAATTTGTGCTAAATATTATATATATATGAATTTGTGTGCATATATGTACATATTTTTATATATGTTTGTTTATAATGTACATGTATACTTGTGTATATAGGTATATATATAAATACATATAAACTCTTAAAAATGTATACACTCTCAAACAAAAATAATTAAGCCAGATAGGAAGATGATTATCTTGGGTTAAATATTTCTACATAGAACAGTTCTGTTGGATTTGCACTTGAAATTAATAGTGCACTCTCTCAGAGAGCAGTATATCAACATTCTGAAGAAGACTTCAAGCCTTCAGTTTGAAAAGGACTCCAAATGTGTAGTTTGAACTGATCAGTTTTAATAATATTAAAGGAAGGTCAATAAGTCAGTAAAATATACAAACACTATTTCTGATATTATAGTAATTAAAAACTTATTTCTCTAAAAATTTGCTTTTAGATAATTTTTTTAAATTAAAGGAATTGTAAATGTAATCTTACATCACATTATTGATCAACTTGATTAAAGAACTCTGCCATTTTTCCTTGTTTTATTTCCTATGCTGAATTCCAAGCACACAGTTCTATGACAGTTCCCTTCATTTGTTCTTCCTAGTAGGAAAGCATGACTAATCTCTTAAGGGAATGTTCTTGCTATTTATTATTGATTTCATAGCTCAAAAATATAAGTGGGCAGAGAATGGGCTGCATTTCAGATCAGGAAATAACCACTAAGAAGAAGAAACCAGTTGGACACGTGATAAATTGCTACTTTCTGTCTGAATTTTATACCTAGTTATAGGTAGTTTACAGAATTAAGCTCCATATGGACCCAGTGCTACTAAGGAGACTATGACATAATCTGTATATAGTTACAGATGCTTCTCTCACTCTTTTGGGACACATTTTAGGAGAAACATGTCATAATCAGGGATTTAGAAATAATGAAAGATTTGGCTCTCATCTGTTTTTCATGGATTTACCAGAGCTGAGATAAAGAAAACAAACACACACAAATGTTAGCTGTGATAGCATTGAAGCAAACTAAACAAATGTTCCCTGACCGTGTTTATACACACAGGCATACACACGCATGCAAACACGTAAAACTCTCACACCGCCACCACCAGCAGCAGCTCTGTAATTCTCACTGTAGAAGCAGTTTCACTAATTCTACACTATTGGAGGGAGAAAACAAATGATCTGTTATAAAATGAATTGATGGATTCTTCAATTGTTTGGATTTTTTTCTGGCTCTGTATTATCTAAATTAAACTAATGCAGACTTCCCAAGTACTGATCTATCAGGAAGCTTCCAATTTAAAATAATGATTATATGGGGTTATACATTACTATTCTTTAAAATGCATTATAAATCATGTATTGGCCAATGTTCAACCAGGAAACTGAAACCACTAAGAATTTGAAACAGATAAAATTTAATGCAGGAATTGGTCATACTATATGATAGAAGACATGAAATGACAAAATAAGGGAAAGGAAGCAACACAAAGATTGCAAAAGCATGAACCCACTTGTACCCACAGATAACAGAATGGAGTAGATGATATTATTTGGCCTGGAGCCCTGGATTACAAGGAGTCTGGCATTAAGGTGGATGTTTCCAAAAGGAGATGGACCGATAGTGGAGATATAGGTATTGCTGGAGAAGCTGCCAGAAGCAGAGAGCAACAGGGAGAAATAATCTAGATTCTCCCTTCTGAGCCTTTCAGTTGCCAACCTGTAACTATCATTAGCTAAACCTAGCCATATGCAACTGGCACAGGGGAAGTACCTCCTGCTAGGGAAATTCTCCCATCATTTTCTGAGGAAAAAAAGAATTGATCAGAGAGTAAATAGACCCAGGATCAAAACACACACACACACACACACACACACACACACACACACATGCAGCAAAGTCTTTTTCCCTCCACGATGGCAGAGTAGAAAGACATGCACTCATTTTCTCCTGCAAGAATACAAAAATCATAACTAGCTGCTGACCAACCATCAACAGGAGAATGTTGGATCCCACCAAAAAAAAAATCAATACCCCATGTTCAAGAACAAAGCAGAAGCTGAAACAAGAAGGTGGGAGGGGCACAATCAAGTTTAAAATAAAATCTCATACCTGACAGAGATGCTTGGAGGGCGCAAAGAAAACCTTCTATGCACCAGGACCCACGGAAAGGAGCAGTGATACCCACAATAGATGCAGCAAGACCTGCCTGTGAGTGTTTCAGGGTTTCCTGCGGAGGCAAGGGTCAGCAGTGGCCCCCCACAGAAACAGGGGCACATGCAGCAGCAATCCTGGGAGGCATGGCAACTGACATAAGTCCTCTTGGAGGAGGTTGCAATTAGCCCCACTATAGAGCCAGCAGGTAGGCAATCCACAACCTAGAGACCAATCATACTAAAGAAGCTCTCACACTGCTGTGAAAGTGACAGACTCCAACACTACGTCCCAACCCGAAGATCCCAAAAAGGGATGGGAATC